CCAAACTCTTGGTTTCTTCCAATTTAGCTGACCTTCTTCCTTAGCTTTCCAAAAGCAGTGGCTAAGCAAATAAAGGGCCAAATTCTGACAAAGCCTTACTATAATTTGCTGTTGTAAACATTTAAAATGTAGAAAAGTTTTTTTTTTTAAAGTTGTTATTACTATTTAAATTTCTCAAGGTTATATTCTACAAGGGTTTTGGAGTTCTGAAACAGGTTTAGCATGAAAAGCAAAGATTTATCCAAAACAGTGAACAGGTTTATTTTTGAATTTCCCATTAACATTTTTACTGAATTACTCAGCTCTACAATTCCAATAGGAAATTCAGTTCCGATCTAAGTAAATGTTTCACTCAGGATATGTTTACTGTACCTGATTTTCCAAGTGAGAGATCCATAAATTGGAGTGGATGTGGGTGAACAGGACTGCAGCTGTTAAGGCCATTTTTGTGGCCTTCAGAGACACTGGGGGGTTGACATTCATACAGTGACATCACTTGGGGAGCAGGATTTGAATTTTTGTTTTTTAAAAAGCATTTTGAAAGTTGGAGAGTTAAAATAAAGTTATTGGAGGCAATGCTACTGCGCTAGTTATATCTTTTCTCTCTGTTGCTCTCTTTTTTAAAAATGTAGAAAATTGCATTGCTGCTTGCTGCAAAACTTTAACAGCGCAATCTTGGAAGCCCCAAAAGTTACAAAAAAAGAGGTTGGGGTGGTGAGTTGCTCACTTCTGTCCTCCATGAACGCTAACCAATAGATCAAGGGCATTTCCTTAGAGAAGAAAATAGAATCTGAGAATCTGTGAGTTAATATGCAAATATTGGAGGAAAAAAGACAGAATTGGGTTTAGCCAGCCAGAAAACTGATGTGTGACTCTGAACTGAAATGCTATCTTTTCCACCAATTGCCCTTGCAAGGCTGATGTCAGGTTATAAAGGAAGATGGAACAAAACAATGAATGGATATTGTTCTGAGCTACCTGGAGGAAGTGCTGCATAAAAGAAATGAATGAAGCCTTAAAAACTAGAACTGTTAGGTATCTGTGCATCTGCTGATTGCCCCTGCATCTTTTCTCCATTACAATGGGTTTATTTTAAGACTTCTTGCTGCCAATATTAGGTATGCAAAGCATTTGCTGGAACAGGTTACTCCTATACACCATACATACCATATCTGGTACAAAAGATCTGTTTGAGTTGTCAGGGGAGCAGTACAAAGCTCCAATGCTGCTTTATTGAGCTGAGCTAGGGCAACCTCCCGTTCATCTTCTTCAGGGATTGTCAGCAACGTCTAAAGAGATAAAAATCAAAATCAAACGTTCTCTCTCCTGCTCTCTCTCATATGCACACACAAACACAAGCAGAACTACAAATATTTCTGGTCAGTCCAATATCATAATGCCCAAACAGTGTCAAATTATAAAATGGCAGCCTAGGCAAAAGAGATGGGCCAGCCTCCCTTTACTTCAGTCAGTGGTTATGCTGGTGAAATTAGCCATAGTTAGTCAGGCTTGCAAGTATCTCTTCCTACACTCACCAACCTGGAGACTACTAGAATGAAGAAAGATGCCTTTTACTCAAAAAGATGGCACTTTTAATGCACTCATGTGCATGCCCCAAGTAGTGCCTTAAAAGTGCCAGCAAACATAAGAAAAATAAAATACACCCTTGAATTTCCAAGGAAGGTATGTATTTGGAAAAAAATGAATTCTGAAAGTAGTTTGCAAATTGCATGCAAACATCTGAACACAGTTCACTTTAATGGCTCATTTGATTCAATGAATCAAATATATTGTAATGTTTAACTTGTTTAGATAGAAATATAAAATAGCAGATGCTATCATATTTCCCTGATTAAAGGTTCTCTCCAGAAATTCTCATCAGATTGTGGTTGATGTAATACTTAAAAATGGACCACAGATATCATAATAGTCCCATTCCACTGTCTTGACTATGAACAAGGTTCCAGAATCCATCTTTCAATCTTGCCATTCTCCATAATAGAAAATGTTGGATGTTCTGGTGAAAGGATGGGATTCTCTCAGAATATTCTGACTGAAAAATAAGAAACCTCATTCACATACCTGCCTAAAATCATCAATGGAAAGGTTCCACTCCACATGGGGTGCCTCCTCTATTTGGGCCATATCTTCCATGTCAGTTTTACTCAGTTCATCTATCAGCTCTTCCAACCCAAGCCTCTTTGCTGCTGAAACAGGTGAGGAAACACTCTTACGCGCATCCTCAGGACTCTTCTGAGACTCTGCAGCACTCTTGGGTGGAGAAGTCTCACTAGCAGTGCCTTCTTCTACATACACTTCTACAAGTTGAGGATTCATGACTTTGTTCCACAACTCATGAAGCTCCTTTACCACTTGGTGTTGGTAGTGCAGCTGTAATGAGAGAGGTGGCAAACAAGAAGTAAATGTGGCATATAAGAAATAAAAGCTTTTCAAGAGTTTCTGATACATCCATAATCTCATCAAGGCCTCTGTGATGGAGACTTTTTTCATTTTGAATATATCTTGACACTTCCATCTATATACAAAACAAAAACTGGCTCCACATTTGCTCTGGGAGCATGATAGATAATTTATTATTCAAAAAAGAGCAATTATACTTCCCCAGAAGATACTACCATGTACCCCTTCAAACTTAAAATTCCTCCTTTTAAGCAACATAATTATAGGTATCCTACTTCACTGAAATTATTAAGGAATTACCCTCCTTTGACAAACAGCTCTTTCTGTCTGATCTCATTTACCTTTAGTAATTAACAGGATGCTCAGCATCAGAGTCTGATAAGTCAGTTCCAGATCTGAGAGTGATACTAAGCTTCTTCCACTAAGTCTCATTGACTAAAACCACTTCCAAATGGATCTTTCAGATGCAACAGTTCATTATGGTAATTTCATGGAGCATCCAGATGTTATCATGCTTTAGTTAACAGCTTGTGTTTTATCTCTCGTTGGTCCATTTTTTATCTTAATAGGCATAACTCACTTAATAAAAAAGACCAAGAACAGTGTCCATATCTGCAAACATAGGAATGTGCTATAGCGCTTGATTCCTTCCATTTGGATGACTGGGAGGTGGTTTTAACATCTGCAGTGATACTCATTGCCTTCTTTGCACCGCCTTGAATGCATTGTTTCCTGTGTACACTGGTACTTAGTACATCTATTCATACAACTTTTTAAAAATTAACTGGTTATAAAATGAAAATTAATTCATTGCCACCATTTAGAAATCTGTTGTGTACTTTTATCATGACCTCTTCTCTTACATTTCCTATTATGAATAAAAGGCACACTTTTTATATATTTTGTAAGTCAGAGATATTTTCCTGTCAACAGGAAAAAGGGAAAAAAACTGAAGTACAACTTAATGCATGTCAGCACACAACCGGAGACTGCAACTCTATGCACAAAGGGAGGGCAACCTTTTAGCAGACATTGTATTTCATGTTTTAAAATTATTTTATTATTATAAAGTTTCTTGGTATTGTCCAGTTCTAGACTAAGCACGAACACAGAAATGAGGCTTCAGAAGTTTACTTCACATTGCAAAGGTTTACAAGGAGCAGCTAGCAGCACTGGCCTATGTGCAGTTGCACATGGGCTTCTACTTGCCAATAACAGAACTAGAAACTTCACAGGCAGTGATTCTAGGACAAACTTTTTAAGAAGCTATGTTTATTTCAAGAACTAAAAAACCTGCTAAAGGAGAAATCCGGCAACCTCACAGGGGAATCAAGTCCTATTGCACCTCTTTCTCCTACCAGTGTGGCATAATGAACTGATATGACTTTTCTGCTTTTGGATAGGAGAGGCAGGAGAAACCTATGAATTGTTGTTCCAACAATAACAATTATTATTGAGTCTGATCTCAGGTTCCTTGCTTCTGACCTTCCAGGTCTAGACCTCACAGCCATTATTTACCAGTTTAGCAATGAAATTTTGATACTGCATCCCTGGAGGCTCTTGGGACCACAAAAATGAGATTAGAAGGACACATATGCCCTATGGATGATCCATCCCTGGAGTAAGTTCAAGTGAAAAGGAAAAAGGCCCACTGAACTCTGTGAGCCTGAAAAGAGATGCCCAGCATTGCAAGGCATGAGTCCCCGAGCAAAATTCTATTTACTGAAGGCATGAAGGTGAATATATATCTGTATGCGGATGATGTACTATTGGTTGAAAATCTGTAATATTCACAGCAAATATTAGTTAAATACTTTGCATCTGAAAGTTAATGTATCAAAGGAAAAATATGCAAGATGTGCATGAATGAAAAAAATAAATAGAACAATTTTGGTACAATGCTAACTAAAGACGGGGAAACAGATGAAGACAATTTTAAGACATGGAAATGCTGGTAGAAAGTTAGGAAGTAGTATATCATCTGCTGTAAAGAAGAAATGATTGCCAAATGAAGGAAAATGGCTGGGTATAAGAGTGTGTTTCTTCTAAAATTCTTCCCAGTGTCCACAGCAATTAATCCAGCTGAAATTGGGAATGTGGGAGGGAAAAACCACCAACATAATGACTAAAGTTGACATATACAGAATTTCTTTATGTGCTCCAAGAACAGGCCTGAATTATGTTTTGCTCTCTGTGTCTCCATCTGACAGTCCTGCCCCAAGGCCCAGTTAGGCTGCTCACTGACCCAGGAAGCTGCTCCCAATCTGGCAGTGCAACAAGATATCTCACAAGTTGCCCACTGATTGGGCATGCCTGTTTCCTTTGTCAGTCCAACAAAGGGCACACAACAGAGCTCTTTGGAAGCCAGTACCTGAGTCTATGCTAACAGAAGTTTGGTACAAATGTTTAATGAAACATTAACAAAACATTATTGACAACTTACTTGTGTAGAAGGGGATAAACTTTCAGAACCTGGCAGGTGTTTTAAATAAGATCTTTTAAAGAAAAAATGATAACACTGAAATTTAAAAAGTATTTAAGACAGTGTATAATCAATCTTGGCATTATGGAAGTCTGAGTATATATTTGTTTCTTAGCTGGTGGAAGTGTAAATGGACTCTAGAATAAGACTTGCATAATCCCCGTACATATTATAATTTACTTTTTCTGCCTACGGTATATTTATTAGTTTATTAAGAGATTATAACACCAGTGAAAATTAGGTGGATAATTTTGCTCATGCAAAAGAAAGAGGAGGATTAGGATTGTCTGATTTTAAATGTATTTTGCAGCCTGCTATTTGGTTTGGATGAAAGAGTGAGTTTTGCTGAGAAATAAAAGAATGTTAGAATTAGGACATAACCTGAGGTTTGGATGGCATGGATTTTTATGGTATGATAAGGTTAATGTAGATTTCAAAGATCATTAAGTGAGAAGTGCCATACTAAGGATATGGAATAAATATAAACCCAGGTTGTGCCCAAAAATACCTTTGCTGGTCTCAGCATAGGAAGGATTTTATAGAAAAGAAATAGGTGAAGAGAAATGGTTAGCATATCGAGACTTATTAATACAGGAAGATAGACAGCTCAAGATGAAGTCGAGAACAATTAACTGCAGAGGGATTTCGTTTTCAATGGTTTTTCATATGCACAATTATTTTATCTAGATAAAAAGGTAATGGGGATTGAACAACATAAGACGGAATTTGAAAATGAACTATGTACAAATGATGAACATCTAATTGCAAAAATGTATAAACTTTTGTTGAAATTTGAAACTGAAGAGGAACAAGTTAAAGATTGCATGATAAAATGGGCTAAAAATTTTGGCTAGAGGTAGTCTGCTTAATGTCCATTAATACAGTGACTGAAGTTACAATGGCGCTGAACGAAGGGACTTAAGACCAGTCCTCAAAGTTCTGGCCTTTGCAGCACCCCCATGGTCATGTGAACAAAATTTGGGCCCACTCAAGCCCACCTGCATTTATGACTGCCTTTTGGCCGACTGCCTACCCACTGCCGCCAGCTGCCCCCGCCGCTTGGCCCTGCCCCCTACCACCACGCTTGCTGCACTGCACACTACTACTATATCAGCTGGGGCCTTCTTTCATGTCACCTTTCACACTGTTGCAGCTGGGGCTTCTCTCACACCCTGCCCAGGGCCTCCATTTGCGTGCCAGACAGGACCTCCATTTGTGTGACAACAAGGCCTTCTAACCGGGTCCTTTTTTCATGCCAGAGCAGCCATGAAAGAAGGCCCTGGGCAGGGCACAAACGGAGACTCTGGATGGCACACAAATGGAGGCCCTGGGCGGGGTGTGAACAGAGGGCCTGGGCAGGGTGCAAACAGAGGCCCTGGCTAGTGCACAAACAGGGGCCCTGGGCAGGCTACAAGAGAAGCCCTGACTACACCAGCAAGAAAGAAAGCAGTGCAAAAGAAGGCCCAGCCAGTACAGTAGTGGTGTGTAGTATGGCAGGCACAGTGGCAGGCAGGGCTGGGCAGCAGGGGAAAAAAGTGAATTTCTGGATTTGATGATTGAAAAAAGACTGAATAAGGGGCTAAAGGGATTACTGTAATGTTAAGGACAGAGGATGGATAATGAGTTTGTAACTGCTGTAAAGAAGGACAAAACTTGCTTCTTTATCTTTTTTTCTTTTTTTCCTTTCTTTAACTGCATTCTTTTCTTCACTTTTTCCCCATCTTTTTCTTTCTTTTCTTTATGTATTTGTATTTGTCTTCTACTTATGTGAAAACTTTTAATAAAAATTGATTTAAAAAAAAAGATGGTAAGGTTGTTCCCTTACAGGTTCCTAATGCTCTGACCAGTATCTGCCCCATATTATCCCTTCTCCCTCCCCACCCCCATCCCATATTCTCTGCAAAGGACAAACTATACCTTTGGATTCTTTCTGTGAAATAATTCTTCTTCAGTGACATATGCATCAAGTGGAGATCTTACTCGCTCCGGTGTTCGAATCTGATTAAGTAACTCTTGTAGATTTTCTTCTACTATAACAGCAACTTCTCGAGCTTCTAACTCTTTCTGGAATTTCAAGCAAAATCATAATATACAGCTAACAATTACTAAGCTTTCTAGCTTAATGTGTCATGTGAACATGGCCTATGTATAAAACGGTTGTATACATAGACAGGCCATGTTCACATGACACATTAAGTTAGAAAGCTTAGTTAATTCATTTGTATCATTCTACCCCATTCAACTGCATTTTATCAAGCTTTGTAGCAGTTGTAATTTGAATCCAAACAGCTGCCATTTTGGATTTTCAGAAACTAGGATTTGTACTAACATACAGAGGCATATTTCAGCATTACTTCCATACTTCCCTCTGTAGAAATCCTGATAAGAAAGTTCATTTTTGTGCAGATCTACTCATCTTCCACAACATCCAGACTTAGAGCAACGTGAACTTCTTTGGCTCCACCATGTATCTGATGAAAAGATATTTGGTTACCTCCAGATCCTCCCTGAGTTTAACTGTAACATCTTCATAGAGGGCAATTCCCCACAGAGTCACTTGTAGCATAGCTCCTCCTAATAACTCAGGATGAGTACCAAACTCCCAGGATTCTCTGAAAATGCCTGCACTCATTGATTTAAAGATGAAGGAAAAATTTATGGTTTCTCCAGGTAGGATAACACCTGTGGGGAACAGAAAGCACATACTGGGAAGGAAAGGATCACTTTCTCTGGCAGGACACCGATTTTGTTCACTGTATTTCTTGTGGATTTAGTGCCCATCTCCATCAGTAACAAAAAAGGAAAAGCTTATCAAAGGAAGTGCTTGGACCCCGTCTTCACTTGCAGTTTACTGTAGCACCATCATTCCTTGACATTCCCAATCTTTCCTCCAATCATAAGAAAGAATTAAAATACAAAAACAATATAATAAAAGAAAAACAATAATACAAATTAATAACAAACATTACTAAGAAAGAGAATAAAGTCACCAAGAACAACACATCCAAGCACAATTCAAAGTAAAACTTCTAATTTTTATTAAATTTTCTCTCAGGAATCCCTTTAAAAACCAGGTTTTAAGAGTTCTCCTAAAACATAACATAATAAACCTAGAATTCAAGTATCCTCCAAATGTTTCAAAATAACTTAAATTAGCTAACAATCTTATTAGCTAAAATGTGTTATGATAAGAAATGAATTTGCAAATCAGATTGCTACTATCTAAAGAAAATAATGGAGAACATTATGGGCTGATTTAGACTTACATTATTTTTTACACAAGCAGAAGATGGATCTTGGACATAAAAGGTAAGTAGAGCAGTCAAATTCATCAACACCCAAGTCTTTTAAGTTTAGGCTATTATTACAGTAAACAAATTGGAACTATAAAAAATAAACGAACACAGGCAATTCATTGCTTTCCAGTAAAAATACAACCTGCTTTCTCTTGCACATTTTGATTTTTTTTGCATGATACCTCACAATGTTTAAGTTAGATTAAAACCAAACAATAAAAGCAATGAATGCATAAGATAAAAACATTAAAATGCAACAAAATTGTATACATTTTAATAATCACATACTGCATAGCTTTCTCTTCTTCTAGAGGCACTGATAACAATACAAAGAAAAATAGATAAATTGTGCCTAGGAGTCCCAACTTTAATCTAAACCAGTTACTTTTTATTGGAAATGCTATTTAAGGTGGTGATTATTTTTTTCAAACTGGCATATCACATTGTATTATATTGTTTGTGAAATAAATGTAACAAGCACCAAACTTTGGGATTGTTTGTTCACTCAAACTGCCTATATATATTAGTAGGAGGACCCACATCAAGCTCTGATAACATTCAATGTCAGAAATGTGCCAACATTCAGAGAACCCAAGTACTTTTCAGAACTATAAATGCTTGCTTTTCAGAACTATAAATGCTTGCTTGAAACATACCAAGATAATTCAGTCACTCCTATGGACAGTTCTCTTTCATTTGTCTCTTGACATTGTTTTGCCTGAAACCTGTCACAGAATTAGGATATGCAGCGAGAAAGAGCCAATCCACTTTCTTCGGCATTTCCTGAAAGAACTTACCTAAGTTGAGATCTCTTTGTAAGGTGTGCTGATGATCAAATTGGCATGATTGATTTGATCCATTGTATAAAATTCAGCCATATAAGGAGATTTCCTTTCCTATATATATTAAGCTTTTACATAAACATCAAGCTTGACTTAAAGAGCCAATCCACTTTCTTTGGCATTTCCTGAAAGAACTTACCTAAGTTGAGATCTCTTTGTATCTTATATGTCTTTCAGCCATATAAGGAGATTTCCTTTCCTATATATATTAAGCTTTTACATAAACATCAAGCTTGACTTAAAGAGCCAATCCACTTTCTTTGGCATTTCCTGAAAGAACTTACCTAAGTTGAGATCTCTTTGTA